CAAAAATCGTTTTGATCCCGGTAAGCAAAAAAAGCAAAATCCTTTATTCACTGAACAATTTTTCTGATTGGCCACACCATTCAGGGAGGAAAGAACATTAGCATAGTTTCTCTGATACTTAAAGTAGCAGGCTTTTTTACTATTTTCTTTAATTTTCCTTCAGCAGACAATGCACAAACACTCTTTTTTGAGGTAGGTGATTTTCTCTTTCATTAAACTCCCTGTCACATAGGTGACACCCAGAGGCAGGCCTCTTCACTCTTGAGCTTCTCCAGAGTGGGACGATTACTGGAGGGGATCGAATAGTGTGTTCAGAAGACTTGTCTCCTGAAGAGTTCTCTGGTCTGCATGGAGACTTCACCGTCTGAAGACGTATTGGCTCCAACTCCAATGGTGACTATCCTTTCAATTTCTGAGCACTCACTGCTAGTGTCACTTACCGAAGTGTCTGAACTTACACAGGGACACAAGTCTTATCTATATTGTCATCGATCAACAAGTATAGTGCACAGACCTTTACCCACATATGATCCACATTATTGTATGCCATTTGTTCTTTTACTTGTTCACTTGAGTGCATTGTGTCAATACCACTTAGCAGGATTTTGTACTGGTAAATCATGTTGGCTGGCACAGCTGAGGGTGACGTTGTTCCAATATACTGCTTTCATTACGGAACACTGCTTCCTGACAGCAATTCTGTTGACACTGCAATGGCATCATTCGATTATGTCATTTCCTGATGGGATGTATGCATAGCAAAATTGGATATGAACTCCACATGAATCCAAAAAATCTTTAAAGAGTCCACGGCAGAATACAGTGTTGTTGTTGTTAGTGAGGAGTTCTGTCAGAGGCTCACATTCAAAGTATAATGCCCTCAAGTGGTCAATCATGCTTGCGGAATCCTGTTGATGCAGGCATCATCAAATAGTTAAGCAGGTTGGGTCAGAGTTAATCAGAGTTAGTGGTTTCTATTGTGGTGAGTGATGTCCATTCCAACACAGTGCCACACTTTTCTCATGTTCAATTGTCCTTTTGGCCATTGTACAGGTGGTGGGTCAATGGGCAGATGCTCCTTGCATTCTCTGACCACTGCTCTGATAGCAGCTTTGGATACAGAGGGATAAATCTTCCTCACAAAATATGGGGCCCATGTTCTATTGCAATGTCCACTTTGGCGATGCATAGATCTTAGTAGATCCAAGTTACAGTCATTTGCTGATTTTGCACAGACATGTCCTACCGGCTCTACCTTTTTCTTAATAGCATTGAGTCATCTCTGGGGCACCCTTGTTAAACTATCTGCCTTATTCCGGTTCGATCTGACCAGTTGCGTATCCACTGATAAGTTGTATTGACTTACCAACTAGTGTGTCTAGTCGCCTTCGAATGAGCATTTCGCTCGCGGCCTTTCTATGTATCCTGGCCTTCCCCATAAGAGTGTCTGCTATCCACTTATGCACAACTATGATGGCATATGATTCTAATAGGTAGATATGCTGTGTATCCTTCTTTGGATGCAACCAACATGCATCTTCCACGATAATTCGATTGAGCTGAAGGGACTCTCCTGTGGCAAGGGAGCTCGCATCTAACCAGACTTCAAATTCAGATCTGTCAATCTGTCTGTACACGTGTAACTGCAAGTAGGACTTTCAAAGATAATCAGAGACATTGATTTCTTCCTTCGCCATTCTCAATTTTTGTGCACAAACATCAGCATGAGCCATGTATACATCTACATATTCATTCAGCTCCCAATAATCTAGTATGGGGCATACATTTCCTTGATTCCTCTGTACCTTGGCCATTAGTGGGATGAGACTTCTTGGAGAATCAAGCTCTTCCTTGTGATATGGAGTCAGCCATCTATTATCCAGCCACATTTGCAGTTTGTGCTCGTATTCTTCTCTGTCTGATGTGTTCAGGCACCAAGTACTCTGACACCTAGTTCTGGAGCTTCTCTGGCAGGTTATTTTCCGACCATTTCCACAGTGTCTATGCTTTCATGCTTTGGTCAAACTCTGCACTAAAGTCAAGCCCAGCAATCCTCAAGGCAGTACAGATGGGTGGACTAGTAAACTGAACTTGTGTACTCCTTAATAATATCCATCCCAAGAAGCAGGTCAATGATGTGCTGTCCACGACCAAGACACTGACAGTGATGGTGTCAATGTTGGTGACACACACTGAGTCTTATGCTTCTGACTCCTCGGCTCCTAAGAGCCTTTCCATAAGCCATTAGTATGTCCATCATTTGTCTGCTGCAATGCTGACAGATTGATCTGTTCGTGAGTGACCGAGAGCAACCCGAATCTACTAAAGCAGTACGTGTTATTCCATTGATGCGCACCTTTATCACAGGGAGTGTCTCTTTCATGCTCTATGCAGGGAAGAGACCGGCGCCGATGTCATATCTCCCATTCCATTTCCTGGACACTTAGAGGCAATGTGGCCTAATTTCTGACATTTAACACATTGTAGATCAGTATATCTTTGTGTTGATAGCGGCAGTTCTTGGCAAAATGATTTGGCCCAGAGCACCAATAGGAGCTCACATCACCATGGCAATGAATGGCTGCGGTTGGATCACCTTTGATTTCAGTTGGCGATCCAGACAAAAGGTACATGTCATCCAGTCATCAGGTAGTAGTGCGATCAGTACAAAATCATTGAAGTAGCAATGCATGCAACTGCAGGAGAAGAATACCCATATTTCCTTAAAAATTTCAGCAGGAAAACCATCCACACCCAGTGCCCACCCATTTGACAAGGTACTTATTGCTTCAGAAAGCTCTGCTTTGGTAGGCTCCTCATCTAATTCTGCAAATATGCCATAAGAGGGTAAGACTGCTTCCATACCTGGATGCTCAGGAAGGTCTTGAACATAAAGCTTCTAGTGGCAACACCCATCTCTTGAGCTGCATAGCCTGGTCTATTGGTTTGTCATTCCCAGATTTCAGTTTCACCAATATTCATTCGCACATCACCTTTCCTCATGCTGCAAGATGGATTTGTGTGGTGAATATATATATATATATATATATATATATATATATATATATATACACACTTCCTTTTACAGAGAGTTATATCTGGAGTCAGAAGTAGGTGCTGGGAGGCTCCTGTGCATAGTTTGGAATCACCTGAATGCTAAGTTAACTGTTGATATATTATTTTTTTTCTATTTTTCCTGTTTCATTTCAGTAAATAAGGAAGCAAAGATGTCCAAATGTCCTAATAATATTTGGAAGGACTCCATCTAAAGTCATATCCCAGTGATAAATTCTGACAAAAATTCTTTATTTTGGAAAATCAAATATTCTTTGACTTCAGCCTGAAGGCATGATAGTTGATTTCCATGGATAAACATTAACTTACAACCCTTCTGGAATTTTTTTACCTCTGTAAAAGTAAACATTAACAAAGGAATATTTTTTTAATTTTTAAAAATTTTTTTATAATTTTACTTATATAAGCATGAAAATTCAATCTATAATTCTCAAAGTGTGTGTGTGTGTGTGTGATCAGATGTTGCTTATGCATTTCCAGAGTTTTCATCTGATTTTGAAGAAATTTTTTTGTTTGGGAGATAATTCTTCAGTACCGGTTTTGAGTCCAAATTGATTGGAAAAAATTACAACCTTGAAGGTGAAAAATAAAAAAAAAAATTTTTTATACTGCACAAAAATCAAAGGCAAAATTTAATGTGTCTAAAAAAACAGCATACAATCAATTTAGAGAGTTGAATTATAATGCAAAAGATTAGAATTATAAAATAATTATATTATAAATACAAATTATCATTATTATTATGATGGTCCATGGAAGAGGTTCCTTTCTTGCACAATTGAGAACACAAAATGGCCCCTTTTAGGGCCATCCCCCATTCAAATTGTTACCCCACTCCCATTTGAGGATATGCCTCAGTTACACCCAATTGTTGTTACTAATATTGATTTTCAGGTGGGCTGACTTTAAAGTCGGATTATACTGCTAGTTATAGAATATTTTTTACTAATGATTATACGTAAAAATTAATACTAAGTGATTGTTGTACCAAGATGAACAATTTGCATTGAAAAAAAAAAAAAAAAAAAAAAAAAATTTTTTTTTTTTTTTTACTATTTTGAGTTTTAGAACTATTTTGTATCAAATTTTCATGTAAAAGACTGGTTAAATCATAGCTACATTAAATTTATAATAGTGCAATGATCAAGGAAAATAACCATTTCCCCCCAACTTCAGTTACCATCAATAGCATACAGATTTTCTGAATCATTTTCCTGAAAGCAAATAGCATTAACTGTATTAAAAAAGAATACTAGAATATGACATTTTAATTATAGTTACAGAAGTAAAATATTGATATTAAACTTACAAAATATTAAGGGAGGATACCAAAAACCTGTTCAAAAGCAGGACTGTTTCCTTTCAATTTCAGAACATTTACAATCATATTTCTTTCCACCCATTGAGATATTTGCAATAAACAAGATTTATTTATTGTATTAATGATGATTACTACAATTTATAACAGCAATTTATAAAATTAAGTATAATGAAAAATACAGCATATATCTGGAAATTTAATGGCCTAATAAAACTTGTAATTAAAACAGCCAGCAAAAATCCAAGAACTGCTGAGAACTAAAATCCACCTTTTATTTCCTCAAGCTATTAAATTATTTAAGATTGAAAAAAATAGTATACAATCTTAACACAACTTGAAGAGATTAACAAAATTCACTTAATGTAAAAATCAGAAAACATAGTGACAAGATACTGTTTAGAATGCTACTATAAGTGATGTAAACAAGATAATCACCAGTTTCTAAAACTGTTAAGTATTTACTTTCCATTGTGTTTGTAACTTTTATATAAGAGCAGCCACAATAATTATATAAGTGCAATAAATGCATACTAATATGTTTGCTAAGTAGCAACAATGATAGCATTTAGATTTTCAATGAGATTTATTTTTTACATGTACTGACCTTTGCATGTCCATGTTTCCCAGTTTTGGAGGTGGACATCTCTACAATCTTACAGGCCCGGTTTTTCATACACACATACCCATTCTTACGCAAGCTTGAGCATTGCTGTGGGAATGTTTGAGAAGCTCCTGCATCTCCTGTTTCAAAATTCTCTTCAGCCATACAAAAGGTTTAGTAAACTGAAAGAGATAAAAAATGCCTACAAAATTAAATTTTGCAAAAATTTAAAATCAAAACTTGTAGAATAAGATCAATTCCAAATTCTTGAAATGTAATTCTGACAGTGAAAAACTTGCTTATGCTAATTTCTAACAAAAAAAAAAAAAAAAAAACCAAAGAAAATGCAATAAATGTCTTTATCATTAAGTTCTGTCATTCATTTATTGCATATATCTCCTTGTTGACTTTTCTTAATCTCTAGTACATAAAGCTTCATTTGAAAAAACTCCTAACTTGACTATACAATTACTTTCATTTTAATATTTGTCATAAGGTTTTTTTTCTCCAACATCTATACAAGTAGATAAGGACCGAGAAGAAATATAGTGAAATTCATTTTATAAGCATTTGCTGCTTATAAAATGAAAATTTAATTAAAGTTATTTATCTGCAAATTCAGAAAAAAACTCAATTACTTTGAAATATGTTTAAAAGGGGTACCAAAAACAAAGAAAAACACTTAAGGGGATACATTTTTTTAAAATTTTGAAATAGATGGATCACATTCCCATTTCACTATACATTAAGATTTTAAATACAGTTGTTTAAACTGGTAAAGAAGCTTAAAGTTCTTATTCTGCATGTTAAACTGGTAACATTTATTAGTACAATTATCAAAGGAGGTTACAAAAGTTTTCAAAATAATCAGTTACTTGTGGCTAAAAGCAAACTGAGAGGTACATTTCACCGAGACTCAAGATATTATAGTTATTTTCAAGCCGAAGTACAAAAATATACAATGGAAATTTAGAATTTTAGCAGTAAAATTTCATGGAACTCATTTTCATTACCATCACCTGGACATCTTTTTTAAAATACAAAAAGTAGCAAATTACTATTTTTCAAACTAGAAATATTGTAAGAGCGATGAGTGGGAGGTAGATATTTGCTACTTCATACTAAATGGTTAGTTTTACAACTTCTAAAAAAAAAAAAATCCTGATAAAGTAATAAAATTCTTTCAAATGACAATTTTGGTAATGTCAAAAAAAAAAAAAAATTGAATAGTTTGTATTATGAAAATAAAGAAAAGCTTGGTAACTAATTAAATTAAAATACATTTACAAAAATTACCCAAGATTTCTTAAATTCCATAAACCTTATTCTCACAAAAATAAAAATTTATTAAATATTGTTCCATTTCCTATGAACTTGATAAAAACATAAATGCAATTTTCTTTAATATTCTCCAACTAATTTTAAATAAACTAATTAAAACAGTTATGAAATAGTTAATATTTTCTCTTAATTGAGAATATAGTTTATAATAGGATTTTTATTTTGACAACAATAAAATAAGGAAAAAAGATTACAAGCAATGATTGCAAAAAATCTATATGCACTGAGAAATCTATTTTACAAATGACAATGTTAATAAGCAAATCATTTCTAAGAGTCATATTCCTTCAAGACATAATTATAGCTCTCAAAAACTTCCTTTTCCTTTAATATCTGTAAACTGCATTACCATGAAGGAAAACTAGAATCCACTCTGCTCTGCTATTTTTAACACTTGGCTGGAAAGAAAACCATACACACCTCCTGTAGTATGAAATTCACTTATTCATAGATCATGAAATCAGAAGCAATCTACTGTCGGTTAAAATATGTAATCACTTGTAAAGCGTTTTATTTCTTAAGTGTTATGTAAGATAACATTCACTACTAGTTTTTCATGTCTCCCAACTTGATAACTGATATACATAAGCATGGTAAAATTCATCTGAAGTACTTATTTGAATAAGGCACCTCTAAAATTTCTTGAAATCAATTTTCTGTTCTTAACTGAGCTTCTGTACATGTTTGCAAGATTCAAGTCACTTTCAGTTATATATTCAGCTTATATTCTTACACTGATTCTTTAATAAAAATTTAAGAAAGAGGTTACATAAAGTGAATAAGGTATTTAAAAACAAAATTATTGAATGAAGTAGTTTCAGCTCATAAAATGTTGAAGTTTAAAACAGAAAATATCCAGAGTTAGAGTATTCTCAAGTCCTTATATATTCACTAATACTAGTACCTAATATTTACTCAGACTAGTGTCACCATCTTAGTTGTTATAATCACAATCCTTTGGTCATTGTGCCCTCTAGGTGCATATCTTAATTGGTAACCTTCTGGGAATTTCAAGCCAAGACTTTTATTCACTCAGGAGGAGGAAAGAACAAGGTAGATATTTCCTTGTCTGTAACAGAAAATGAAAACAATCAAATAAAGAGATTAGTCAAAATTCCTGAATGTTATTAATTACAGCAGACACCTGAAGAAGGCTGTAAGGTACAACCACCAAATAAAGAAAAGAGTGGAAATTTTTTTTTTTCTTTAAAAATGCCACTCTCTTCCAATATGTACACAACCACAGATCTTTTTTCTTTATTCCACATCTTAAAATTCTCAGGCAATTTTTTTAGTTTTAGCTTGTTAAAAAAAAAAAGATAAACAAAAAACCTGTCATTCATACTTTAATTTCACAGCCATAGAATATCAAAATTTAAATGCTTAATTCTTAAAGTTTGTCTGAATCAATGTTCATTAGTTTTTAAAGTTTGTTTTTATAAATACATTTAGAGTATTTTTTACATAATGCTAAGTGTATGAATTGCAAATTTGAGATATTTTGCAGAACATTGAACAATTACTAGTTTGTTTTCTAGCAACGTCATACAAATAGAAATTACATTACTATTTTGCCACAAGAAAAAATGTTTCATATTTCTTGTAAGAAAGTTTTGTCAACTTAAACTTTACAAAAGATGTCGAAGTTTTGAAACTTAAATGCCTTATTTCAATCCATTTAACCAGAATAAAAATATTTTAGAACTTAATCAGCAATTTAATTTATATCGCTGCACTATTTTTTTTTTTTTTTTTTTTTACATAGGGCAGGATTGTTGCAGCCTAAGGTCACTAAAGCAATGATTTTAATTTCCTAGATAATGAAACGAGGAGTTGTATTAACTCAAATGATATTGACATATGATATGACAAACTCATTCATTTGACTTTGAAGCAAGGAAAATGTTTTAGTTTCTATATCTTTGTGTTTCAGAATGTTTAAGAATTTTAGAAATTTTTATAAAGTAGTTGTTTTTTTTTAAATAACTAGATATAACTTTTAAATAGTTTCATAATCTGAAATGATAGCAATATGATACACTCGTATTTATTTTTATTATTTTATTGTTAGTGCTAGTTATATTTTTTTTACTGCGGCCGTGCTGAAATGTGCTAATTTGGTTTGTAATAAAAAAAATAATGGTAATTTCTTAAAGAATATTTTTATTCACAAACAAAAGCTATTCTAGTTTATTTAAAGAACTTGCTATTACTTCGAGCTATGTAAATATTGCTAAAAATAAAATTATATCACGAATAAAAAAAATATTCGAGACTAGGAGGCCACCAAGAGAAAACTCCCTAGGTCTCTAGCTTACAATATCTTTTTTGTATTATTTTTCAGTTTAAGCAATGCATTTAAGAACAAATTGTAACGAAATTGATACAGGAAATGTTTGGTTCTTTAAGTCACTTTCTATTAAACTTGCGTTGGTAACAAAATATTTAGCTCTGCTGGACATGTATATTGATTGTTAATTTATTGTTAAACAATAATAAATTATTGCATATTCATTATGAAATTAAAAAAAAAAAAAATGAGAGCGAAAATTTCACATTTGGCACATTCCAGTGTTAAATTATGGCACTGCAGGTGAATTCCATGAATTTAACACAAGATCTAATATATATTTCAAAATATCTATAAAAATCAAAACGTCACAGCAACTCGAAAGGAGAAATATTTTGATTCAAGGGAAATAATGCAAAGTCAAGTTTTATATCATTTACCTCCCTTATTTTTCTATAATTATCCTCAAATAGAATAAGGGTGTGGCGATGAAATAGGAAACAAATCTAAGCTACCGCTGATCAAACGGATACATTTATTTACAAACTAAAAAAAAAAAAAGTTCTGAATGGAATTGGTTACAATTATTAACTAATCTACCAACAACAAGGTTTACTGCTGCTATATGTATTTCATTCATCGTCACTACATACATATCGATTTCATTTATTTTAAATACTAAAAAAAAGATTGATTAGAGAATTTTACATTGATAAAAAAAGAATTTTTTTAAAGTAACAACTTTCATAATTATAATTACACTACTTAATAATGAACAGAATTAGAATAGAGAGCAAAACCCTTTTTAGCTTAAGTATTCATGGCTCACAGATTTTTACGTAAAAATTACTATCTTACCTTCAACCAGGTGTCAATTTCAGCTTGTATTTGCATTCAAGCGGAAAGAAAGTAGAAATTTAATTTAAGCAACAAATGAACATCATAAAAATAATTGCACAATTATAATGCAGTGGCCAGAGATTTGCTTCCTTAGTGGAAGATAAATCCAACTATTAGCGAATAGTCCCTGAATTATTTTTAAAAGGTTAGGTGCAAAATCCATTTCAGTCTAATTTCGATTATACACAATTTAAATAAAGTTTTCTTAAAAGAACAGTTGAATTTATCAACCAAATTTAACCTCATATTACAGAAGAATTGTATATCTGATTTATTTTGTAAAACAAACTTTTATACAGCAAGAAACGTGGCATTTCATATTTAAATAGAAAAAAGAAAAATACTGAAAAACATCCTTTATTTTAGTTTCGTTTTCCTTCACTGTTCAGGTAGGTAAAGCTATACAGAAAAATGTATATACGCAACTTGACAACCACGAAATCGCAATAAAGAAAACGATAATGACAATTTAAAAAGAAAAGAAGTATTTTAAAAACATTGGCTTCTGAGAGTTCTAGGAAATATTTCCCTGTAAAATACTTACGATAGTGAATTCTATAATGGAGTAAGTAAGGTCACGCGTATTTAGGTGAGTAGGAATAAAAAAAATACTATGAAATGAATTACGGTGAGTCATTGACAACTTTAAAAGATTTTTTTTTAAATGCTACCACACGAATGACAAATTTGTGAACACATGGTTGTTCCAGAAATGATAAAAAGAAATCGCTGTCTAGAAGTGTAAAATGGACAGTAAACTTAGTTTAATAACGAGGAAAAAAAAAAAAACTAAAAAAGAAAAAAACACACACACACAAAACTGACGCAGCGTCGAACAAAATTCGAATCGGTGATGCGAATTTTATAATAATAGGCTTAGGCTCAGGTGGCAGTAGTACTGTTGTAAAGCTGGAGGATAATGGCAACGAATAGATAACTTGTGTAACCTTGTCTACATGAGACTGAAATATTAAAAAATATAGTTGACACACATTTAGTCATCGATTGCATTCGGATGATTAAAAAAAAGAAAATTAAAAAAAAAAAAGTTGTAGACATTTATCAAAATTGAAATCAAACAATCTTTGATGTATTGATTATGCAGTGTTAAACTTAAACAATACGTGCATGACGCATATCATTAGAATAACGTAACCTAAAATAACTACTGAAACAAAATGATATAATTGAAATTGAAGCTTGTTAGTAGTGTTTTAGTGTCAGTGATTTTAACATTAAATAAGCTGAGCAACCAGTAAATGTCTAGGCGAAGACAAGATAAAAATGGCGATGCAATTTGGAAGTATTAAAATTTGAACAATAATTCACCGGCCGAAAGAACGAGAGGATTAATAAATAGAAAAAAAAAAGACAGTTGAGAGTTAAAATAAAAACCTAATAAAGTCGGAAACAAAAGTGAGCAGACAATCCTGATAAGGGCCGCTATCCAAATGTTTACTCGCAAGGTGGGTGAAGAAACGCCAACCTACTTACCAAACGGCTCACGTCTGCTAGCCGGGAGAATTGTGTGCGTGTGTGAGCTGCGCCTGCGCAATAATACTTACACAAAGTAGTAGGTCCAAATCGAGGTTCAACGTTAAGCAAAAAAAAAAAAAATTAAAAATTAAATAAATAAAAATCGTATTAATAATGATAATTGAAGAAAAACTTGATGAAAAAAGAAACGAACTCATATACAACAATGAATTTTTTTAAAGATATTATATCTTAATTATTTATTCTTAGAAATGAAAATATAGATCTACTTTGTAAAATCTTCATTAATTATTTTCACAAAAATTGTTTTAAAATTTATTAAAAACTATATCTTATCACTGTATTGCTATAAAATAATACTGTTTCATAATGTTATTGTATTTTATTGAGTTTCATATAAAATTGTTGATATGTTCTTATCAAAATAATCACTGAAAATCATTTATTAAAAATTTAATACTTGAGCCAAATTCAAGTAATACTTTCCTATATTTCAATTTAACTATATTTTAGAATCAAGTTCAGAGATTGATATATGAGTTATATTTTAACTAAGAAGAATTAAAAAGTACTGACTATAATGTTTATCAATGTGAAGATTATATTAAAAAATTTTCAAAAACATGTTAAATCCATATTGATTAAAATTTATGTTCAAATGAATTTATACCATTTTTTTGTATTAATATGAGGTATTAATATTATTTATGCTAGGCCTAGTAAGGAGATCCTCATAGCCTAGCATATGCACTTATTCTTTCAGATGTCTAACTATCCAGTATTCTACCTTGTCCAGTATTTTCACTTCATTCCACATGGGTTGATGACTAGCCCTTTCCCTCCATACATGATCAGCCATGCCAAATTTCATTGTCTCACTCTTCACTATGGTTTTTCCAGCCTTACTTTTAGGGTGTGGCTTGTTTCACCTTTATATTCTTTGCCACAACTGTAATGAATTGAGTACATGCAATTCTTGGTCATGTTCCCCCCTGTGTTAGGTTTTATTTGACAGAGATTTCTCCATAGAGTTGAACTGCTTCTGAATATTGCCCTGATGTTGTATGTACTGCAGATCTTCTGAATCTTTTCTGATAAACTATTGACATAAGGTAAGACAGACTGTGGTAATTTTCTGGTCATCCTCCTTGTTCATTCTGTTCCCACTTGTAGATGCTGATGATATGTTTTCTGGATAGTTGTTAATCTGAAAGGTACATTTGACACTGATCATTTCTTGTTTACATGCAGTTGTGTTCAAGGATAATTTACTGCCAAAATCTTGTTATATGTTCTCAAGCCTATCACATGGTTCATATTAATTATAAATACTTGTACAAAACAGGAATTCAGTTGTGTTTGAAATGCTGAAATTTACTTGTCCTTGGAATTTTGAGTGAGGAAAATGTTCTTGTTGATAAACTGTAAAGTGTATTAAAAAGTGTGTGAGTTTGGAGAACTTTAGTAAGATGTATTGTTACCTGTAAGAGAATTAAACAGTTTGTTACATACAATCTTATGTTTCTGTCCTTGTGATTGAAGGAGTGAATGTTTGTAGATGTTTGTAAATGTTTGTACGTACGTGTGTGCATATGTGTATGTGTAATGATGTTTCATGGCGTTTACCCCTAAGGGAGAAATGCAATCTCTCCACAGAGCTACATTGCTGTGTGTCTGAGAAGACAAGAAAGAGGAAGGGTGAAGATGTGCCCAAGTATTTATAATTAATGTGACTCATGTGATAGGCTCAAGAACACATAACCAGATTTTGGTGGTAAATTAACTTTGAACACAACTGTGTAGGTGTTGTAATGTTTTTCACATATATTAGCCAATCAGAGAATTATTCAAGGCTTCTGTGATCCACTTTGGTGTTTAGTTTGTACAAAAATTGCAATCAAGAGAAATATTACATGAAAAATGAATTGAATTATTTAACAACCAATAGAATTCACTGAGTCATAATAATATTATAATTAAGTAGAAGTTGAATACTAAACAAGTATTGTCCAGTGAAGGTTGACTTGTGACATATAGATGTTTTGAACCCAATCTCTGTGTGAGTTAATAGTACATCCAGGAAGGCTAGCAGATTATTATTTTCTTCTGTGATTGGGAACTGGACTTATTGAATTCACATGGCCCAGTAGTATTTGTATAGCTTCTTGATGAGGCCAGTGTATGAAGGTGTAATCTGTTTCTCAGTCATATGGTTGGTTTTAATGGTGCCATTTCTAAAGACATTTCCTTGAACTATTCCATGAATAGCTTCACCATCACTGGTCATTGGTGAACCCATAGCCAAGCCTTTTTCCTATTAATATATGCCAAACACTATTTGGAAGAATTTTGTCTGTTCACAGAATGTTAACATTTTCATCAAATTATCTATTGGAATTTTAGTACATTCTCTGAGGGTGGGGTCTGATTCTAGTCAGTTTTGAACCACTGTCAGGGCTTCATCTGTAGAAACTCTGACTTGCCACATCCAAACTTAACATCTGATTGTTATGGATGGGAATCCCTTGGATCAGTTTCACTAAATGTTTCACTGAGTTTCTTCCCTGTTAGTGGGCTGACTATATCTATTAAGAATCTGCTCAGCAGGTGGCATGCTAAGTTCCTGCAGCTGACTATAGGTCTCAATGGAATACCAACTTTGTGAATCTTGAGGAGGCCTTACATGTGTGGCAGCTGGTATAACATTGAATTATTTGTCCATACTTATTCAATTCAAAGTAGTCCTTGTCAATAAAGATGAGGACAATAGCCTGAATATAAATAGTGTAAACAATAACATCTCATCCCAGAAATTCAGACAGAGGTATTAGTATATTCAACATTTTTCAATACTTTTCAGTCTTAAAAAAGATTCAGTTACTTTTCTGACAATTTACATAACATCAAAACCATGCATATTAATATAGGAAAATTATCATATTATGAAAGCAAACATATTCTTTCATTTACTCATTAAAAAACATCAGTACTTTACTATAAAATCTTCAATGCTTTTAATTAATCGTTAATCCCAAACAGCAGTGTAGTTATGCTGTTCAAGTTAGAATTGAAATTGCTGAAAGTCCTTTATGATTTGTTTGCAAAGGTAAATATTTGTCTTAAGATGAGTTCAACCCACAACAAAGAAAAATGTGAAAAGTTTTTTTTAAATATAAAAATATAAAATATTTTTATTTTTGTGCTTTTTACAATTCAACTTTTCTTAGCATATCTCATACATGCTAAGAAAAATTGAGTTGTAAAAAACACAAAAATAAAAATATTTTATTACAGTCTTTGTAGTGATTTGTCAAGATGAAAAGAAATGTGATTTCTTTGTGTGTATATATGAGAAAAAAGAGGCAAAGGAGAAAATGAGGAGGAAAGTGTATATGTCACATAGTTTTGTGAGAAAGACAGGTGAATGAGTAAGGAAAATTTTTTTAAGCTGAGCCATTGTGAACTGCTGTCATATGTTGCTGTCCCTTTTCTTTCCTGGCTTTTCAGGTCTAGAAACTTTGCTTATATACTCTTGAAAGGGATCAAGAAACATGTGTTTTTTTTATTGTTGATGAGAATGCAACACATTGGCAGAAAAATTTTAAATATTTTCAAAGAATTAATTTATTAACTGGAAGGATGCATGAATCCTCTGACTCAGAAACCATACTTTTATCATTTGACATTTCACTGCTTTGCTGTTTGTTTCTGTCTTTGCTCCACATGAGAATAACAAAAATATGAAAGCCTTTGCAACATTTTTTTGATTTCCATTAAAAATAACAGATAAGCTTGCAATTGATATCAGGTATATAAGATGAAGTAGCAGCAACAGGAGTAATCAGCAGAGTACAACTGGAAGCCCCAGAACCCATTCTATCTTCCGTTTCAGCAGCCTCTACCTTCACATCCAGCTCTCTTTTCCACTTTTCCTTTTCAACAACTTCTATCTTCAAGACCTAACTCAATGGGCTACTCTCAGCCATTGGTGCAGAAGACATGTGATCTTGTCCTGGCAGCTTGACTTCAGATTTTTCATTCCTTGTAGGAATTGGCAGAGCAATCGAGATGCCTACCCAAAAGAAAAACTAAACACAATCCTTGCTGCAGAAGAGTTGTACCAGTCCTAGCAGTGTTGCAATCAGATTTTTTGTTCCTCCTGTGGGAATATGTGGAGAAATTCTCTACAAAACATCTACTCAGGATCTTTGTTAACTGGGAAACCCCACATTTTCCCCACAAAATGCCACTATTTTACACTCTCTTTCAATGACAAAATAAAAGCTGTTAAACAGTTATTTCAAGGTTTGGGTCTTGTTCATTCTCCTGTCACTGCCAAGCACACACACACACACACACACACACACACACACACATGCACATACACACAACTGGGAAAAATTCCGAAAATTTGTGTGACTTGCCTGTGTAGGTGTGTTTGTGTGTGAGGCATCCATATCCCTTTTTTGCTTTGATGTGAAAAGTTGATAGCACACACTTCGAAAAGGAGTTAAAACAGGAAAAGAAAGAGTTACTTAAGGGTTTGCTTGTTTTTATACCCTCCAGGCTGCTGATGATAATATGTTTATTAAGGCATTACAAATTAATTTCTGGATATATATAAACTCTTTAGGCATTTTTAAAATATTGGCATGTTTTTTGTCACTCATCAAACTGTCATTGTATACAAAAATGTAAACATTTAAATTTCCTTTAAAAAATCAATATTTCTCCTAAAAATTCATTTCTATTGACAATTTACCAAAGACTGGTGTAAAAAGCCACAAAATACATTGATGACTGAATAATCATGTTATGAATTTATATGTATAAAAGATTATATTAAACATTCTAGAAACTTTTGCAACAACATAATACATCTTTTTAAAATTTTTGTTAATTGATATAACATTAAATTTAATAGAAATTATAACTTCAAACTTCCTGTCATATAAAGATGTCAAACATTATCTGATCAAAATTTAAAGATGTCTTTGATGTTCAAAGTTCAATGACAACATTACTGTATCAAAGCCAGATTCATTTTATCAAAACTCCCTGGGATGTTGGTGTAAGGCAATTTGAAGCCAAGGGGAAAATTTGATGATTAATAATGCACTAATAAAGTATGTGTTAATATATGTTTAATTGCTTTACATCAAATATATATATATATATATATATATATATATATATA